CCTCTCCCTCCCTCCTTCCATATCTCCCTCCCCTCCTTCTCTCTCCCTCCTCTTCCCTCCTTCCATAATCTCCCTCCCTCTCTCTCCCTCTCTCCCTCCTTCCATATCTCCCTCCCTCTCTCCCTCTCTCCTTCCATATCTCCCTCCCTCTCTCCCTCCTCTTCCCTCCTTCCCCTCCCTTCCATATCACCCTCCCCCCTCTCTCTCTCCTCCTCCCTCCTTCCATATCTTCCTCCCTCCCCTCTCTCTCCCTCCTTCCCTCTCCCTCTCTCCCTCCTTCCATATCTCCCTCCCCTCTCTCTCTCTCTCCCTCTCTCCCTCCCTCCTTCCATATCTCCCTCCCCCTCTCTCTCCCTCCCTCCCTCCTTCCATATCTCCCTCCCTCTCTCCCTCCACTCACACGCAAAGAGAATCAAGGCCCTGCTCTCTTGCCAGCTTCGCGGCGATGGAGAAGAAAGGCTTCCAACGGAACATGTGTGATATAGATAGAAAAAAAAATCAACCTTGAGTCTGAAAAAAAAGAGAATCAACTTAAAAGAGAGAAGAAAATATTCCTACCAAGATCTTGTTCAAACGTAAATGACAAGCGAAACGCGGGGAGAGAGAGGGAGAGAGAGAGAGGAGAGGAGAGAGAAGGGTAGGAAAAAAAACAAGAGAAAAGACAGGAGAGCGCTAACACACACCCCTTCCTCCTTCCGATGTCCTGCCCCTTCCTGCAGAACGCCCGCGAGGTGGTGACGTCCTGGCCGGAGGTGTGGGGCACGCAGGAGGTCGCAGGACGCCAGTGCTGGGCCAGGGTCCGCCTCCTCGACTCCCTGGTGCACGTCCACGCCTTGCAGGACGCTCCTCCGCCCGCCTCCGCAGTCACTGTGCCTGTGAGTGGAGTGCAATGTGTGTGTGTGTGTGTGTGTGTGTGTGTGTGGTGTGTGTGTTGTGTGTGGTGTGTGTGTGTGTTGTGTGTGTGTGTGTGTGTGTGTATGTGTGTGTGTGGTGTGTGTGGGGCAGGGGTGTCTCAGGGTGGTTGAAGGGAATGGGGAATGTGATTTGTGCATGAGTAACTTCTCGCAGATGAGGCTGGCTGCTCCGCATCTTACGAGCCGCGGCGCAACCAAGATTAGAAAGCAAGTGCGTCACTCATCTAACGCTGACCCGCCGTCCCTTTGTATCTTGCAGTTTCGAATCCTGCGGTCGCTCCTGCCCGAGGGCAACCCCCCCTCCGTATTCCTCGACCTCAGCTGGCCCGGCTGCGAGACCGCCAGGATCTACGTGCGGCTGCTGCGGGACTCGCCGAGGGGCAGCCAGTTCTTCCTGCTGTGCTCGGGAGAGTGTGGCCCCACGCTGAAGGACGCGACGTTCCAGCCGCCATCGCCGGGGGAATCCGAGGCGACGCTGTCCGGCCGGGTGCCTCTCCGGAAGCCCGTGCTAGGGAACCTTCGGGAGGAGGTGCAGCCGGCGGCTAGGGGCGAGAGCCGCCGGCAGGCGGAGAAGGGGCTGGTGGTAGGCTCCTACACGGCCAACACCTTCTTCCACTTCTTCCGCAGCGGGAGGAGGTGCACCTTCCACTTCCGCCTGCACGCCGGAGGGGCGCAGGGCGACGCCGGGGGCGCTGCCATCGGCACGGTGACCAAGGGCATGAATCACCTCAAGTTCGCCGTGGCGCACAGTCGAGTCTCCAGCGTGAAGGTCAAGGACACGGGCTTCATCGCCCCCCTGCAGGCATAGCTTCCGCCGCGCCCGTGTCATTCCAGGAGCCTTAAGCGTAAAGGAACACTTCATGTAGGTTTTGGAAATTAGTCTAAAGATAACGATTTTTCAAGAGAGAAAATGGAGTATCAAGAAACAGTATTCTTTCCAGGCCTTTGGAGGCGAGACGAGGCTAGTCAATCTTGTGCACGAACCCACTTCCGGTGGCCTGTGCTTCTGGCTCCTTCGTGGTGCCGAGGCGAAGCCGAAAGGCCAAGGACCTTTAAGCCAAAAACAAGGAAACTTATTCACAAAACGGCCTCACAAATCTCCTTTCGATGTACTGTCTGTCCCGAGGTGGTGCTTGGCCGCGGGTCGTTTCGAGTCGGCGCGAGGCGGCCGCAGAGCAGGCAGAGGCGCGCTTTGAAACGCCCTCGGGAACAGTCGCAAAAGCAGCACCAGCTGTTCTGTTGCCAACGCACATGCGGGCGTGACTTGCGAGGACGGCTGCCACGCTCACGCCCTCGCTGTCTGCTGCGTCAAAGGGTTTTCTGACGTCCAGAATGAGTAGTGCTGATCATTTTTGTATATGCATACGTACATGCATAAGTGCATGATATTAAAACACATACATACAAACACACACGCAGCGAACACATGCATGCACACATTCACATGCATACATACGTATGTATATATTCATGTACGTATGGATATGATATGTTGTATGTATGTACCTATATATGCTCTTTTATTTTTTTACTTTTTGCTTCTCCCTCATCCGTTAATGCTCTCGTTCCCTCCCCCTCTTCATCACCTGCTTCCTACTCCCTCTCCATTCTACTTTCCTCCAAACCCCATCTACCCATCTCCCTCCCTCTCTACCTCTCACCCATTTCCTCTCCTTCCCTCTCTCTTCTCCCTCCCCCCCGCTTTCTCACTCCCTCCACTCCCCCCTTTCTCTCTCCCTCCACCCCCCGCCTTTCCCGTCTCACCTTCTCCATCCTAAACGTTCTCCCCCTCTATCCCCTCACCCCCCCCATCGCCAATCAAGCCCCCCCCCTCCCGACGCGGCGAATGAAGTTTAATGAATAATCAATAAAATCAAACGCCCTTTGGGTAATCATGATCATTTAACTCTCTCCTCACGGGGGCGCCACCTCCCCCCCCCCCCGCCTCGCCTTGAGAACGGGGAGAAGGTGGCGGGGGGGAGGGGGAGAGGGAGAGGGGGGCAAGGCTCTCTCTTTCCTTTCTTCTGAGGGGAGGGGAGAGGGAGAGGGTGGGGGGGGGGGCAAGGCTCTCTCTTTCCTTGGTCTTCTTCTTTCTCTTCTCTTCTTTTGTCTCTCTTTTTTTTTTTATCTGGTTCTTCGTCTTCTTATCCTTTCCTTCTTTCTGTTTCTTTTTCTTTTTCTTCGTCCGTATTTTCCTCCTCTCTCGTACGTCCAATTCCTTATCTCTCTTATCTTTCTTCTACCTTATCACCATCTCTTTTGCTTACTTCTTTTTCCTTCCACTTCTCTCTCTCTCTTTCCTCTTCCTCTCCTGCTTTCCCCTTTTTTCCTTCCCCTATTCCCTATTCTCTCTTTTACTTTTCTTTCCACTTCTCCCTCTTCACCTTCGCCCTTTCGCTTCCCCTTCTTTTTTTTCTCTTCCCCTTCCCCTTCGCTTCCACCTTTCCTTTCCTTTAATCCTATTCACTTTTCTTCCCCCTTCCCACTTCCCCTTTCGCTTCCACTGTCCCTTTCCTTTCTCCATTTTCTCTCCCTCTTTTCGCTTCCATTTCCCCTTCTGTTTCTTATTTCCCCTTCCCCCTTTCACTTCTTCCTTTCTCCTCTTTCTTCCCTTCGTCGTTTCGCCTCTACTTTCCCTTCTCTTTCTCATTTCCCCTTTCCCCTTTCGCCCGTTCTTGCCTTATCCCTTCCCCCCCTCTGCTCCACCCCCCTCAGCCCCTTTTTCCCCCCCTCACCCCATCTCCCGAAACCAAAGTCCTTTTTCGACCCCTTCCCTTCTCCTCATTTCCCTTCTCTTTCTCATTTTCCCTTCCCCTTTCGCCTTTTCTTCCCTTATCCCATCCTCCCCCCCCCTCTGCTCCACCCTCCTCACCCCCTCTGCCACTCTCCTCACCCCCTTTGCCACCCTCACCCCTCTCCCCGAAACCAAGTCTATTTTCGAGCCCCTTCCAGACTCCTTCTCATTTCCCTTTTCTTTCTCATATGTCCTTCCCCTTTTCGCTTTTTCTTCCCTTATCCCTCCCTCACCCCCTCTGCCACCCCATCACCCCTTCTACCAACCCCTCTCAACTCTCCTCTGCACCCCCCCCTCACCCCTTCTACACCCACTCTCACCCCTCTGCCACCCCCCCTCACCCCCTCTGCCCCCCCTCACCCCTCCTGCTCCCCGCCCCCCTCACCCCTTCTACCACCCCCCTCTCACCCTCTCTGCCACCCTTCTCACCCCTCTGCTCCCCGCCCCCCTCACCCCTCTCCCCGAAACCAAAGTCCATTTTCGAGCCCTTCCCTTTTCTTATTTCCCTTTTTTTCTCATTTTTCCTTCCCGCCTTTCGCCTTTTCCTCCTTTATCCCCCCGCCTCATCCCCTTTGCTCCTCGCCCCTCCTCACCGCTCTGGCCCACGCCCCCCTCACCCCTCTGCTCCCCGCCCCCCTCACTCCCTTCTACCACCCACTCTCACCCCTCTGCCACCCCCCTCTCACCCCCTCTCCCCGAAACCAAAGTCCATTTTCGAGCCCCTTCCCTTCTTCTTATTTCCCTTTTTTCTCATTTTTCCTTCCCCCTTTCGCCTTTTCCTCCTTTATCCCCCCCGCCTCATCCCCTTTGCTCCTCGCCCCCTCACCCGCTCTGGCCCACGCCCCCCTCACCCCCTCTGCTCCCCGCCCCCCCTCACCCCTTCTACCACCCACTCTCACCCCCTCTGCCACCCCCCTCACCCCTCTCCCCGAAACCAAAGTCCATTTTCGAGCCCCTTCCAGACTCCTTCAAGAAGACCTTATGAGTAATTCCTCGCTGCCGTTGGCGTCTCGAGGTATCTAAGGTGACTCACCAGATGTTACGTTTGATGAATATTTGATTAATATATCTATTTGTTTATATACGTGTTGGTTTTATTCGCCTTGTTGCCTCCCCCTTCGCTGTGTGTCTGTCTCCGTCTCTTTCTCCTTTTCTTTTTCTTTTTCTTTATTTTTATCGTTTTCTTTTTCTTTTTCTTTTTTCTTCTCTGTTTCTGTTTCTGTCTGTCTTTCTCTCTGTCTGTCTGTCTGTCTGTCTCTCTCTCCTTCTCTCTCTCTCTCTCTCTCTCTCTCTCTCTCTCTCCTCATCCTCTCTCTCTCTCCTCTTCTCTCTCTCTTCTCTCAATCTCTTCTCTCTCTCTCCTCTCTCTCTCTCTCTCTCTCTCTCTCTCTCTCTCTCTCGAAAATGAGAAAGAGGAGAACGCACGTAAAAAAGCAGGGATTTAAATGACAAAAAGACAAGAAAAGGTATCGATTTTCTTTGAAAAAAAGAAAAAAGAAAACGAATTAAGTTAGAGCTCCTGGTTAAACACAATAAACACTGAGTGAATTAGTATCAAGTATAAAACAATGAAGGGAGAGGTAAAGGAAGAGAAAGAGAGAAGAAAGAGGCAAAATTTGGAAACGGAAAGAGAAAAACATAAACAGACAGAGAACAAAGGGAGACATAATATGAAATAGATAGATAGATAGAGAGAGAGAGACAGATAGACAGACAAACAGACAGAGACAGAGACAGAAAAAGACAAAGAAAGAGAAAGAAAACAAACGGACAGACAGAGACAGGGAAAGAAAGGGAGAAAGAGAGAGTGAGTGAGAGAGTGAGAGAGAAAGAAGAGCAAACAGACAGACAGAGACAGACATACAGATATGAGACAGAGTCAGCACAGACAGAAGCAAACAAGCCCGACAGACAAATACAGGGAGAGAGAGAGAGAGAGAGAGAGAGAGAGAGAGAGAGAGAGAGGAGAGAGAGAGAGAGAGAAGAGAAGAGAGAGAGAGAGAGAGAGAAGAGAGAGAGAGAGAGAGAGAGAGAGAGAGAGAGAGAGGAGAGGAAGAGAGAGGGCCCCACACCGCATACACCAACAGTGGGTGTGTGCTTACTGAAATGCAAAACGCAAACCGGCAATTAAATACTCGAGCGAACTATACTGCGACCTTTGGCAATCCTCTGTAGCACTTTCTTTTCTCCATCATTCTTTTCATCATCATTTTCATTACCATTTTGAAGATTATGATTTCCTTTAAAGAAGAGACGATAGTGAATCGAGAGTGTGGGTAACGTGATATAAATCCCGTTGTTTTTATCGGCTGTGTGAGTTGTCATTGAAGCACTACGTGTGTGAGGGACGTAGAGGATTGAAGAAAAATAGAAATGGAAGGAGGATGATGATGATGAAGAAAAAGGAGGAAGATGATGATGGTGGTGGTGGTGGTTATGATGATGATGGTGATGGTGATGGTGATTGATGATAGTGGAGGTGATGATGATGATTGAGGATGATGGTGGTGGTGATGATGATGATGATGATGTGGTGTTGGTGATGATGATTGATAATGTTGACGATGATGATTGAAAATGATAGTGATGATTGATGATGATGATGATGATGATTGTTCATGATGATGGTGGTGATGGTGATGATAATGATGATGAAGAAGAAGAAAAAGAAAAGGGGGAGGAGAAAGAGGTAAGTAAAAGAAAATGGGAGGAGGAGGATGTTAGAAAAGGAATAGGAGGTGGGGGAAAAGAGGAGGAGGATATAGAAAGAGATCGAGAATAAGAG